ACTTTTCCATTTTATATGCATGAAAACACAAACATAATTTAGGCATAAATTTAACTGAAAATAAAACTCTTTAGAGTTGACGTTGAAATGTTATCTAGTAGAGAAACTGAAACTTCAGGAGCCTTAAAAGATAAAAAAACTAACACTTTCGAATAAACGTACAGCTTAATATAGTTATATTTGTTGAGTTAAAGGTACTTTGCTTTTCCTTTGAAACAACTGCCACCTTAACTCATCTCAATTACATTGAGTAGTCGAAAAAGGTTTTTCGTAATTTGTGAATAGTTGTTGTTGCATATTCTTAAGTTTTCTATAAAGCAGTATATGGTCTGACATATACCACCGTAAACACAAACAGATTGCCTGGTTCTGTATACTATGCATATCAACAACAGTCGCTTCCTCTGGAAGTTAGAAGTAATAAAGTAACTTTAAAAGCCATAAAACGCATTCCGACAGCCAAACTTAATATTGGCGCTGTTAAACCAGAAATAAAAATAGCAATGGTAAAAGTGTAGTCATTTTGAAAACTTTTGATTGGCGTAAGCTTCTGTTTGATACAATTTGAATTTAAAAGCTCAACAGCATAAGCCAATAAAACCCACAAAACTGAAGTATTTTTAAAGCACAATGTTCAATGCTAAATCTTTTCCAGGGCTTGGCATAAATTTAACTTTAATACAACACAATAACAAAAAAAGAAGAAATATATCCAACTTCCAACCTTCCAGCTTCCAACCTGAAATTGGCCACCGTGACGGCGACATTTATTTATTTTTGCGCACACAACGTGCCGCATAATTAATTTGTTGTGACAGCGAAGAAAAAGCGAAATATATTTATGTTTATGTATGTGTTTATATGTATATATTCACTACTTTGTACGAAAATGCTTGTGTTTACACATAAGTACCGACACACACTTAATTGCACCGAATAAAGACAAAGTGTTTTACCACAAAAATCCATTAACTGCTGTTAAGTCAAAAGCTTTATTGTCGTGCGAACATTTGGATTAAAAGGATTTGCTGAAAGAAGCAAACAGTACATAAAGTATGAGCTAAGTAAGTGCACCAACACAATGTAGAGTATACATAAAATTTTCAATGTTAGCTGGTGGTAAATTAAATGAAACATTTCAAAATACGGTTTGCAAATATATTTGCTCGTAATGAACCGACGAAGGTTGGTGCACTGTCAAGACAAGAGTATTCATTGCTGATGAGTTTAGTTAACTAATTTAAGTTACAGCCTAACTACGAAAGTTCAAACTTTTCGAAACCGAAATTTCGAAAATTCAAAACGAGCATAAATGCTTGTATAATTATTTTAGATTGCGCTTTACAGCTATTCGTGAACCAAAAAAGACAATGAAAAATTAAGTTGAAGCCACAAGCGGCATGCTGTTACTAGGCGCTGTTGCCTCACGCTGTGCCAACATGCCGCTGTTAGAAATCAACCGAACTGAATGAATTTAGACATATTTTAAGTGGAAACAGTAGATTTAATTCCAGGAAAGCGCTTATAACTGCAACACATTTAAYTTTCCTTCTTCTACCTTCCCTGCTTCCCAAATGATTGATATAACGTTGCCGCAGCTTATTGTGTGCACAGCAATCACATGAATTATGCCTTGTAAGTAAGTCGGCAAAAATAGAATTACGTGGGTGTGATCTCAGCGTGGTCAAGTGCAGCCAAGGAAAGTATATTAGTGCCGAAAACGGCAAATTCAATTACTCACCCAACATTACAGGTAGACTTTAGATCATTGAGTTGACAGAAGTCAAGAGCCGAATAATTTATTTCTTCTTCTTCTTTATATCACATACGCATTTATCAAAATTTCCACTTTATTTATGCGGCTTACACACGTATAAAGAGGACACTGACATTGGGGCACACATATATAGTATACTCCACGCACAAGCGCGCTCTGTGTTTGTTGTTTACGCTTACGCCCGGTCAAGGTCAAGTTTGAAAAATCATAATTTTCTGGCCTGACATCTGACAATATTTGTAACTTTTCATCGCTCTTACAATATTTCATATCCCACAGGCATACATATGTATATAAGTACAGCACACAACTCAGCGGTGGGTATGAATTTATAAGACGAGAATTTCCCGTTAGTTAATTTAAAAGTTCATACGAGCGTTAATTCACTTGCACATATAAGTCCGCTGTCAGACGTTTGTATACTTACCGTTGCAAAGATAGATTTGTTTAAAATATCTACATTAGGGTGCGTACAAAAATAAGAGTATTTTTATTGATTTAAAAATTCATACAGAAAAATTGGCTTATGATAATCAAACTTCAACTCTTCATACCTTTTGAGCGGTTATGTTTACGAAAAAAATCGGAAAAGACTATTCTATAGCGCATTCAGTTTACTACCAAATCTATGAAACGATTTTTTTTTGTAATTATTGGCAGTGAGATATGATTTTTTATATTTTATAATATGAAAATAGTAGACAAATGTTAGGTGGAGGTTCTTCCTGTTACAATTAGGAGCTCCAACTTGGAAAGATTTTCCTATATTTTTCGAAGTACAAAACAAAAAAAAAAAAATTTCGTTTTTGGCTCACTCTAATATATATATTTATATAGAGCTTATATACGGACTGTGCCTGTAAAATTTTTTTAATTTCTCCAATTTCGAACTCAATTTTTAGTTTCTTTTACCCAGCCTAATGTACATATTTATCTAAAGAATATGGTATTTATGTGCTTTATTCATGTTTATTTTTATTAGTTTCTCCAACTGTGACTTTTTGTGACACACCCTAATGTATATATTTATTTAAAGCTTATATATGGGCTATTCATTTTAATTTTATTATTTTCTCCACTTTTGATTTTTTTTATGTGACCTACCCTAATGTATGTATTTATATGAAGCATAGCCCGTATACATATATGCTACATAATATTGAAATCAATTTTTTTATTATTTTTAATTTTTTGTTGTCCACCCTAATATACATATTTCTACAAAATATAATATATACGGGATCCACCCTAATATATACAAATATTCTGTTCATGTTAAGTTTTACTATTTTCTGCAATTTTGATTTTCATTTTTCGTTTCTTGCGTCGGCATATGGTTGTCACACTGACTGTCACACTGGCTGTCACTTGCTGCCTTCAACGCGTTTATTTACATTTTTTTGTTGCGCTGTCTGCTGCGAAAATATTTAATATCTCAACTTTTATGTTTTTTGCGCTTGTCACATTTTGCATTTTTTCTTCGAGCTTATTGATGCCGCGATGTCGCAAAGGGCTTAACAAATTGAATTATGCTTACCGAGCGCGAGGGAGTTCTACGTCTTGCTATACGAACAGTTAAGTTGTTGTTGCTGTTATGCGTTGCGGTTACTTGTGGTCGTATATCTTCGCAGTGCTTCGTCATACCCGTGATATTTCACACTGTTTGGCTTTTTTATACTTTTTCAACGTATCCACTTTTATTCCTTACATTCTTTGTTTTCCCTCAATTTATCTTCGCAATCCCCAGGCCCTTATTGTAGCTCAGTTTTGGCATAATTTAATTTAAAAACTTTTTGTATGTTTTTATGTGCGCTAGTCAGCCTGGCGCGGCGGTCAAGTGGCAAAATCTTCATTTTAAGCAATTTGTTTTATTCGCTGAGCTGTCAATTTTAAAAGTTGTCTCTTGGAATTATGTCATGCTGCCGCCGGGTATTATCTAATTAAAGAGTGTAAAGAAGAAATACGTTTTGACCGTAAATTTCAGCATTTGTTCGAAGCGTTTATTCATTCGAGTTGCTGTGGGATACTCGTCAATTCGATGAGTATATGTATATCGATTTTAGATATAATACCCAATAAATAACCATTTTATAACGAGAACTTTAGTTTTGCTTCAATATGAGTATATAATAAGCAATGTATAACCATTTTATAATGAGAATTTTATTTTTGCTTCAATATTAGTGGTTCCGTTATATCGTTTTTTCTTCGCTTGTCATGTTTTTAAGAAAAGAGATCTTACGTTATTTTGCATTTCAGGTGGCGATATTCTGCAAAAGCAATACTAAGCTTCTTGAATTTTACCACACGTATATGTAAGACTTTATCCAGATTCTCTGCCTCTTTCTCTCTATTTGTGTTTTCCAACTTATCTATTTGAAGTGATTCTCTTTCCACGTTGCGGTTTTCACAGTGAAGAATACTTGCAACATTTGTAATGCTTATTTTTAATTCGCAATTCTCCAGCTGTTTAGTTGTTGTGGTTCAAAAAGTCCACACTAATCCAAATCTCTGCGCAAATCCTCTTAACTTAAACTAATTAAATACGTCAACCAATATTTTTCTACTTTCTCACGTTGTATATGTCACTACTAATATATTTATTGCATATTCTTCTCTCGTATAGATTCTGCATCGGTTGTGGTGCACGTCATCAACGGTGAACATCCGGCCGCCATGCAGCACGGCAACAGCAGCGCTAATCGCCTCTCCAGCACACTACACGGCTATCTCCATCGAATAACTCGACGCGCGCTCACCACACTGGCCGCAAGCTTTACCCAAGTAACAACAATAGCTAAATGTCCAAGTGCACATCCTTTGGTCACTGGCCTGCAGCAACGACAGACAGTGTGGCCGATGACGTTGTTCTGGCGCTTGCTACAACAACTGCTGCTCGCCGCGGCCACAACAAATTGGTGCATCATGTCTGTGGGCTGGTTGCTCTCCAGGTGGGCCCTGCAATGCGGTCAATGGCAGCACCGTCAACCACAACTGCAACAACAACAACAATTGCAAATGCCGAGACATGAAGTGCGACGGCCACTAGAGACGCATTGCTGGTGTTGGTGGCGGCATTGGCGGCGATGGTCGGCTAGCGCTTCGGTGCTTAGGTGATTGCAAAATTGAGCAAAAGCGCTCAACTAATCGAGTATGGACCGCTACACAATGGCATGTAGAGGAGCATATTGACTGCGATTTTACACGTTTAGTGATTGTAGTTGTAATTGTATATATGTAGGTATACGTATTATTATTATATTGTTTTTTTCCACACTTTTGTTACACCAATCGCTCAGACTCGCTACGGTTCAAACATGTAGCTGCATTTTAAAACTATGTGTGTGTATTAGTGCGAGTCGATTTGCAAGGGAACGAAAAATCTGGAAAAATCACCTATGCGGGAAATGTTAAAGGGATCATTCTGAGCAAATTTGCCTAATAGACTACGGGTCTAAAACTGGTTTCGATATAGCGATTTTTAGGAAGCAGTTTTTCAAGTATCACAAAGCACTTTTCCATCAAATTTTGATATAACTAAATAAAGTGTTTATATGAAGATGTAATTTGATATTCCATTGCTCATTTGTCGAAATCGAACGGATAACTACATTTTCTATAATTTTCTACTATAATTTGGCGGATAACTATTTTACATATCTCTACACTTATTCAGATTTCTTAAACTGCGTCTTAAAAGTGTTTGGCTCGAAAGTGACTTTAGACTCATACTCTCTTAGGCAAAGTTGTTCAGAATGATCCATGGAACATTTTCCTTAAATGCGGTTTTATAGAAAAAAATTGACCCACCCTAATGTGTATATAAATATATACTAGGGTATGCGTTATTTCTCTAGTTAGTTGTGTTTTTGCAAAATCTCTCTCTGAACTAACGGTTTAGGCGCTAAAAAATCAAAAATAAACCCAAATCATATAAATTTGTTCATATACATACATATATGGGATTCTTTGATCTTTTGCATGAAACAAATAGACCGAGAACTTTCAAAGAGTACCTTTCAACAAAAAAGTTTGCGCTCTACAAAGAATTTGTGGTTAACGTCTTCATAAAAACCGTTATTTTAAAAGCAAAACGCAGTTAAATTTACATACCATCTACTAAGAATTCTTAGAGTACAACATGGCGCATGAGCAACACTGTTGTTCCATATAAATCACTTGCTTGAATGCGCAGTATATCTGATGCTCAAACTTTTACTTCATAAAACTTTTAAACGAAAAGATTATAAAATCCATTTCTAAAGCTCAGGATTTTTTGAAATAACCAAATTTCAAAATTGTAGGTTAACTTGCTTAATGCAAAATATCACAAAATGCCAACTTATTAGCTTAAGAAAAGTAAGTTGATTTACGTTGGATAACTTTTTAGCGTGAAAATCGAAACTTCAGCGTCATCAGCTAAAACGAAGTAATTTGGAAAATAACGCACAGCCTAACATACTTATGTTTGTGGATAAATTCGCTCACACAGCAGCACTTGATATCCACCCAAAGCATGTCACGAGCTATCTCTGCATTCTCATGCTCATACATACGCGTATATGTATGTATGTATGTGAACAGGTGCTATTCTTTTCGATACATTTTAATATTGCATTAGTGTGATTGATTGGCATGGAAATGTACTCGTATAACAGACATTAATACAACTTCATTTGTACTGCAATTTCATCGTTTTAAATGCGGATTTAATTTTCACGATGCCGCATTACAGCGAGCAAATCGCATTGTAACCAAATCATGTTTTGAATGTAAATGAAAATTGCAAATATGTGTAAAAAAAGGCGAATAGAGCAATTGGTGATGTAAAATAAGTGAATCAGTAAGCACAAGCGCCAGCGTATAATTGATGTATTGACTGTGCCGCGTACATTTTTAGAACAATAATTCGCGAAAACAACGCATTTTCCCATTGTATATGAGCAATGGGCTCATAATTGTAATTAAATCACTTGTTGTAAATGTATATGATAAAGATTAGCATTTATATGGCTTATTAATGGTGACAAACATTAGTTACAATGCCACAAATTTGTAAAGACTATAGAGTGCTGTCAGGCACAGAAATTTCAAACAGTATTGCAATCAACGAAAATTCGAAAGTACTTTTGGGGTAACGGTTAAAGTATTTACACAAGCATTATATTGACGAAATTCTCTATTACTAACTGAAGTACAATGGACTTCTTTAAAACAAATTAATTTCAAAACACTGCAACTTTTTTCAATATTCATTTTGTTTTGATCTGTTCGAAACGCAAACTCGGCTATAACGCCGAAAAGGGATGTCTACGCTAGGACAGAAGTTTCGAAATGCAATCTCTTATATATAATTTTTCTAAGTAATTAAATTATATGATCACAGCACGCTTTTTCATGCGCTTTCAACATTCCTTTTACAATTTTTTTTTTTTTTACATTTTTTTCTAAACAGTAAAAGCAAATATGCAATGCAGAGTAAGTGTCATTAAAACAAAGTGTAATGAAAATTAAAGAAATTAATATAATTTGAGATTTTAGCATACTACATAGTTTGTGGAATTTGTTTGTTAGTTCAAATAGTTCACCTTTCCCTTTAATCTTTTAATGCAAACTTTTGAAGAGCGATTTCTAAGCGGCATGCAACATACCCTGGTCCATTTCATCCCGAATCTTATTATGTCTGTATTCAGTAGAAATCTTGTCTTACAAAATTGATGATAAAAAGCATTTCACATAATGCCATTGCTACAACAACAACCATGGTTTGCAATATGACACTCACTAACATGAGTGGAAAAACAAAAACATTATTTCTTTGCTTCAAGTTCAACAACTCTATGAATTTAGCTCTTGAGTGCAACAAAGGATAAATTAATGTCAAGCGAAATTTTAGATGAATTTGTATTGGATAAATTGCTTTTGAAGTGAACAAAAATAAAAATTTTACTACTCGCTGATTAAATTCATAATCTTTATTTTATTTTTATTTTTTGCTAATTTTTGCTTTTTCTCAACATATTTCTATATGCTGAACGGAGTTTATTAAGTTTGCCTAGAAATTTACTACACCTTAAAGCAAATATTGGAGATTAGTTTAAATATTTATGATGACCTGAGTCGATTCAGACATTTTTTAAGTATAAGGAAGTATCGAAAACCGAAGTAAGGGACTTTAATCGGCTAAATCTGACCAACTTGCATCTCATGTCTCTTCCACGGGAACATTGGACAAAGTATCACTTCATTGGAGAGAAGAAGATATTTAAATCTTCTCTATTGTACAGGCTGATTGACGCGTAATCCGCTTCGCTGACAGCTTTCCATTTTATAGAGAAGGCGCACAAATGTATAGTCAATTTCTCCACCGAGAGACTACCTATAAGAGTGGTTTCCAGCTTTTCCTCTATACTTAAAAATCGAAGGCAATGATTCACGTGTTCAGTGTCTTCTATACATTTTGTGCACGCCAAACAATGGGGACTAAATTCATGACTATATTTGATTGTTTGGCTCAATCTTAGTCTCCATGTTGTCTATTTATCCACGAATGTATATCCGAAATCAGTCCGTGGGTCTCACCGACTTTTGCATGAAGTTTTCCACTGTTGCTGCCACATTGCGATGCTTTTGGTGCTCTCCTCTATTTTTGCTACGGTAGACGTCGGTGATAAGTTATATACCCGCGCGAATTCGTCTCCCTGAATGTTCATCGGTGCTTTACTTGTAGAAAGCGTATTTGCATAAAGTATATGTACAGCGTTCATTGGTCTAGCATATGATTTTATGTCTAGTGCCTGTATCCATATTAGAGCCGCATACAGTATAACTGCACCCATTGCGTTAGCTATTAAAAATCGTCAACTGGAAGGCACACAGCCTTTGTTTGCCATCATTCGAGATAAAGCATTACATAGATTGCTTTACATATCATACTTCAAGGAGCATTTGGATCCTGGAATTTGACTTTTGGGTCCACCATTACAACAAGGTACTTTCACTGTGCCTGTGAGTTAATCTCACATTTTCCAATGATGGGCGATATCCTTTCGTCAATTTTCCTGGAGCTCATGAGCAAGATTTCTGTTTTCTGCTCAGGCATGTTCAAACTCTTAGGAGTATATTTATGGCAAAGCGCTGACAGAAATAGTAGCATAAATTGAAAACCCCCTCATTGAGCTTGTGGGCAATTTACACTCAAAGGAGTTGTAGCTTGTATCGTTCCTCGAACTTACTGAGCACATTTACATAAGTACCAACACTCCAACTATAGGCAATCGCACGCTATATGCGCAGCAAATTACCATAAAATGAAATCGACGGAAGTGTTATGAAAAATACAAATTTCAAATTGCAAAGTAATTTCAAACAATTTTGACTTTACTTAGTGTAAGCCGAATAATTTTGCGCACTTGAACCCCGTATTAAAAGTCCCAATGCACACGAGAGCTTTCCCGGTACTGTGCGCCCTTTCAGCATGATGGATTACCTGCTTATGCCCAGCACCCTACGCACACTTATTTCGCATTACATATTATAATTTTCTGCTCTGTTTCATTGCGTCGACGCACCGGTAGCCAAATCGACGGATGTACGCGCACATACACTTAAACACCTTAACCACTTTCACATGCAAACACATATGTGCACATATTTTGGCATCGAACCCTGTGAATGTACGTGTGCAAATGCATGTGTGTGCACATAAGCGCGCACGTAAGCGGAAGCAGCACTAGCGCTAAGCGCTCTTGCGTGGCCATGCATGAAATTCGTTCGCCTACAAACAAACAACCTCCTCCCACTCATATCCTCACGCCATGTGGCAATAATTTACTAAAATTTTTATGCACCCATATGTAAGTAATTGTCCTCCACAGCGCTCGTTCATAAAAAATACATTAGGACATAACTTCACGCAGCGCCCTTGGCGGTTTGGTTTGGTGAGCGGGTTTAAAGCGCGCCAAAGAGGCTTAACTACAAGTGGAGGTTGCTTTTCAAGTGCGCGCATATTTTTTGTGTACACAACATATTTCTGGTAAGAGTTTAGCTAACCAAAAAATTGTGAAGAAAGCGTGTGAGAAAATGTTTGTTGTTGTGAAAAACCTATGCAAGTACACACATTTTCTTTTTAAGTGTAAAAAATTAAAAAAAAAATATCTGACGTTTTTCGGTACAGAATTTAGTTAATGGAGACTCTTCGGGTTTGGATAGTAAATATAAAATTTTTGAAAGTTCGGTATGCGATTAGGTGACTTACTAGGTATTTTTACAATAAGAAAGCTTGGAAGTTAGTTTACATTTTTTTTTTTTTTTTTTAATTTTCGAAAACTTTTGTAGTGTCATCAGTATTATAAAGGTCTTTAAATAAGACCGCTACAAATTACGTATAGAACTCGATTTCTTTTGCATGGCCAGCATGGGTACGGTGAACCCAATTTTCGACAGTTTTCAAACATGAATCGGCCGATTTGTTGCATGTTTACCTTAGATTTGACGTAGCGCCGGAGGAAATAGTCTAATGGTGTCGAATCGCACGACCGAAGTAGTCAATTGCCTGAACCATTTCGTGAGATAGCACGTCGACCAAACTTGGTTTCTAATAAATCGATTGTGAAATTCGCTGTGTGGC